ATCATGGATGCTATCGCCGATCATTTCATTGAATGTATCTTAGATGACGTAACCTGCAAAGCACCGCTGCGCCACGGACTGATTGTCCAACAAATGATGGAAGGTCTGCTCAAGAGTGCTGAGGACAGGACGCGAAATTGAGATCGAAGCAGCCGAGGTTTAAAAAATGACGCTTGACATGACAACGCTTCGCAATGATTTCACAAGGAACGGCTTTGCTATCGTCCCGAATCTGTTTACACGAAGCGAAGTCCAACGGCTTAAATTAGAGTGTATCGACATTCTGGAAGCCGTTAAAGCAGAGACAGGTACAGTCGCCGGACACGGTGTCCACGTCGGCTTAGCTGCGCAGAGCCCCGTTTTTCAAACGGCAGTCGGGGACGCACGGATACTCGATATTTTAGAAGGCATCCTCGCACCGGACATCGAATTTCTGAGCGATAAGTTTGTTTTCAAGAGTGAAGCGATGACCTTCGCAAGCCCATGGCACCAAGATTGGCACTATTGGCACGGTGCCCACAAACTCTCAATCTGGGTGGCTCTTGATGATGCAACTGTCGAAAACGGGTGTCTCAAACTATTTCCGGGTTCCCATAAATCTGCCATTGTTCACGATGGCGATGCCAATGATGGGCACGGATTCGGAAATCGACTTCGTCCAGACACAATAGACGAAAGCCTCGCCGTCACAGCAGAGATTGCAGCGGGGGGTGCTGTCTTTTTCCACGACTTGACGCTTCATTCCAGCCATCCGAATCAATCTGGAGAAGAACGTTGGGTTTGGATTCCCACGTATCGTGACGCGAATGCGGAGGATAATGACTATCCCTGGGCAGTCGCGGCGAAAGTTTTACGTGGAAAAAAATTGTCTGAATCAGGATTTACAAGATTATAGGATTTGCAGAATTACGGGGTGCCAGAGAGGTTTCTTGTGATAACCAAAAACTTTCGTTTATTCTGAAGAATAACAAGAGGAGAAATTATGTTTAAAAACCTGAGTACCGGTGCAATCGGCATCCGGGCAAACATGACAGAAGGCTTAGAATTGGCAAAAAACGCCGGTTTTGAAGGTCTCGACCTGAACATCGATGACGCCAGTCAACTCGCACAAGAACACTCTGTTCAACACGTCAAAGACCTCTGGACAGAAGCCGGTATTGCTATGGGGGGTTGGGGGTTCGGTGTAAATTGGCGCGGTCCCGATGCTGACTATTACGCCGGTTTAGCGCAGCTACCCGAACGCGCAGCACTCGCCGCTGAACTCGGTTGCTTCCGATCAACCACCGTTGTCGGACCTGCTTCAAACGACATGACTTTTCAAGAAAACTGGGATTTTTCTGTCAAACGACTCCGTCCTATCGCTGAGATCCTCAACACACACGGGCATTCAATTGGGCTTGAGTTCATTGGACCAGCGACGAGTCGCAAAAGTTCCAAGCATCTCTTTACCTATTCGATGGATGCAATGTTAGGGCTTTCCGCCGCGGTCGGGACGGGAAACGTTGGACTCCTGTTCGATACATGGCATTGGTACACCTGTCGTTCCACGGTTGACGATGTCCGCAAACTTTCTGTATCGGATGTCGTTTACGTCCACATCAACGATGCCCCTGCCGGAATTGATCCTGACGAACAGATTGATAACATCAGGTGCCTTCCCGCAGAGACTGGCGTGATCCCCCTCACCGAATTGATGCAAATCCTGACGGACATCGGTTATGAGGGACCCGTGACACCGGAACCGTTCAGCAAAAAGGTGACCAACATGGAACCCGCCGATGCAGCAAAAGCTACCGCGGAATCATTGGATCAGGTATGGGAAAACGCAGGACTGTAGGAGCGATCTCCGAATCGCGACCATCAATCTCCGTATCGCGAGGTTGTTTCACGAAAGGACAAAATATGCAACTCATCAACAAAGAGAGCATCCTCGCGATGACGCATTTATGGGAAGGCGACCGGTTCCCTGATGGACGCCCGCGCGTCTCCGATGATATTATTCGGCGAATGAAGGCTATCAGCATCGAGCAGGCGTGGGGTGTTCTCAACGGCAACGACTATAAATTCCAATTCGCTGGCGATTGGATGAATCTCCATCCCGATCAGATTTTGGTCGGTAGAGCAGTAACGTGTGCTTTTGTGCCGATCCGCCCAGACTTCAACGGTGCTATCTCGGCACAAGGTGAAAAAGACGGACGCGTCGGTGGGCAAAACTCGTGGGTAATTGATACGCTCGTCCGCGATGATGTCATCGTCGTTGACCTGTTTGGTAAAGTCAAGGACGGCACCTTCGCTGGTGATAACCTCGGCAATTCCATCTTCGCGAAAACAGGGACAGGCATGGTAATTGACGGCGGCATCCGAGATCTGGACGGCATCTACGAATTGCCTGATTTTGCTACCTTCGTGCGAGGCGTAGATCCGACAGGCATCGCAAATGTCACACTCACCGGTATTAACATTCCCATCCGCATAGCGGAGGCGACGGTTTTACCGGGAGATGTCGTTTTAGGGAGACGTGGAGGCGTTATCTTTATTCCGCCACACTTCGCGCAGCAGGTGGTTGAACGCGGCGAAGAGGTGGCTCTCCGAGATCGATTTGGGCATCAACGGTTGCGCGAAGGTGTCTATACACCGGGTGAAATAGATCGGAAATGGTCTGAGGAGATCGAGGCAGATTTCGCGAAATGGAGCGAGGAACAAAAATAATTAAACGTTGTTGTAGCGGAGACACCCTCACTCTTTGGAGTCGGACCGCTATGACGCGCGTCTCGCTTTAACCGCATACATGGGCCAGGAAAAATAAAAATCATCACCCGCCGGACGGACTGTGTAGTGCTTTCTTGCCTCATCAGGGTGAGAGGTTGGCGAATGCATCACGAATTGCCTGCACGACCTCCGGTGGGTTTTGTTGTGGACGCACCCACCACAAAAACGACATCTCCGCGTTTCGGACGTGTGCTGTCTCTTTCAAGTGAAAACCCAGCATCCACAATCATCGCGTCCCATTCGGACGGTGGATACCCATACACATGAGAATCGTCCCGCAGCTTCTCCACTCGGTTCTGCCACGCGATTAACTTCTCCGATTCAGGCGAGACAGAATCCACCATACAGAAGAGCCCATCTGTCCGTAAAACCCGATGCACCTCGCGCAAGAAGGCAGGGACATCTTGGAAATGATGCGGGGCAATCCGGCACGTCACCAAATCTAACGAGCCATCCGCAAAGGGTAAGGACTCCGCGGCGGCAACGGAAAAAGCGACGTTTTTTAGGGGATTTTTCCTGCGCAAGTTCAGCTGCCTTGGCGACCATCTCGGGTGTCAGGTCGGCAGCAATCATGTATGCGACCTTCGGGGCGAGCGTAAAAGCAGTGAATCCCGTTCCTGTCGCAATATCCAGTGTCCGTTCTGTCCCGTTCGGCTCGGCAAAATCCAAGATAACGTTTAAGGTATCTCCGGTGGCATGCGCGCTGCTCTGCGCATAATAGTTTGCATGCTGACTAAACTGCTCTCGGACCGCCGTGTGTATGGATTTCATGAAACCTCTTAACTGACCGCTGACTACCGACGGCTAACGGCTAATTAAAAAGGATAACGCCACGGGCGTTTTCGCCCGCTTCCATGTCCGCAAACGCCTCATTAATCTGATCAAGCCGATAGTGTTGTGTAATCAATTCATCTAACTTCAACTTGCCTTCCGTATATAGACCGAGAAGCTTCGGCATATCCACCTTGGGCTGGCATGAGCCGTAAAACGAACCGATCAGCCGTCTTTCCGTTGAGACAAGGTGTTGCGCAGGAATACTAACATCCGATTGATGGTGTGCCATCCCGACAATAACGGCAGTACCCGCCGCACGGACCATATTGTAAGCTTGCACAATAGTTTTGGGATTCCCGATCACTTCAAAGGCGTAGTCTACACCGAGCCCCGCGGTCAACTCACGCACCGCTTCAACGGGATCATATACCGAAGCGTTGACGACATCCGTTGCTCCAAAACTTTTTGCAAAGTTGAGCTTCTTCTCGGCGATATCAACGGCGATAATCCGTTCCGCTTGCGCAAGCACCGCACCTTGAATAGCGTTCAAACCGACGCCACCCCGGTCCCTATGACCGCTACGGAGCTTCCGGGCTCCACCTTCGCACGTATTCAGGACCGCGCCAACACCTGTTGTTACGCCACAGCCCACGAGTGCTGCTTTCTCTAATGAATAGTGTTCATCAATTTTGACGAGATTTTGTTTTGGGACAACCATGTACTCGGACATCGTCGCAATCCTCGCCATCTGTAGGATGCCATCTCCCGAACTGTTACGGAGGCGATAGGTGCCATCCAACTGAAAGCCGCGCGGGACATCGTAACTCTCGCACAGACAGACTTTTTCCATCTCACACATGCGACAACTACCACAATAACTGACGAAAGACAAGATCACATGGTCGCCGGGACTAAACCCGGTTACATCGTCCCCAACGCGCTCAATAATGCCTGCGCCTTCATGCCCGAGCGCCACAGCAGCATCGTAATAGATAGCCCCAGTAACGACCGACAAATCAGAGTGGCAGACACCACTCGCCGCAGTCCGAATGAGCACCTCGTTTGCCTTGGGTTCATCTAATTCAAGTTCCTCAACGACGACCGGTTGGTTATGTTCATACATAACAGCAGCACGCGTTTTCATCTTTTTACTCTCCACGGCGTAAAACGTTTATAATAAAGACTCCAGATAACTTCTCGCCTTTCGCATCGATTCAACTGGATCAGATTCCCCTTCATATACTACCGATAGACATCCATTATAACCAACACCCCGCAAAATATCTAAAACACGAGGATAATCTAACCACTCCTCCACGCCGCTATCAATCTGATAAAATTTCGTACGGACATAAACAGCATGCGGTGCCGTCTGCTCAATACTCGCGTAACAGTCGTAGCCGGGATGTGAAGCACCGCGATGCCCGCTTGCCCCAGGGGATCCGGCATACTGCCCGGTATCCAAAATATGCGTAAAATAGGGATGATCTGTGCCATTTAAAGCGCGTAAAACCGCATCACCATCGCGCGTGACGTTGTTATGGTTGTGATTCTGTAACCCGACGAGAATCCCCGACTCATAACCGTACGCAGCGACCTCCTTGAAGGCTTCGATCATCGGTGGCCACAAAGTATCCTCATCCTCGCAATCCTCAGGAACATAAGCAGCGAAGACTCTGACGAGAGGGCAGCTCATAAAAGCCGCAACGTCTATCCATTTCTTGATTAACGCGACCTGCTCGTGATGCTCGTCAACAGGACGACCACAGAAGTTATTGCTGATACCGATATAACCTAACGGTAGCCCTTTCCGCATGAGATTCATCTTCAACTCACGTAGATAGTTGGCATCGGTGGATTCAAACGCACTCGAATGCAGCTCAACGACATCAAATCCGAGATCATACACCAATTGTGCGAAAGCAGTAGCCGTGGTATTTCTCACGTTCAGGGACATCGTTCCCAATTTCATCATAACGGAATTCTCCTTTTTTTACCCGAAGTACCGCGCAAAACCCTCTGTCAGCACTTTTCACAAGCACTACCCATCTATGGTAACGTCATCATGCTCTTGAAGCGATGTTCTCGTCTGTTGGTTCAATGCTACAAGAAACTTTCGCAAAGTCTGTTGAAGATCCTGAAGTTGATGCCGGTCTGTTTCAAGATACTGCAATCGGGAATCTAAAGCTTCTAATCGGCTGACGCGGTCCAGAATATCCTCAATCAAGTTGTGTATATCGCGGAACTGCTGCCGATCGTCCTCTAATTGCTGAGCCTTGTTCACCACTACGCTGAGTTGTTTCTGGGTCTGATCCAATTCCCTTTGGAGGTTTTGTGTAAAAGTGATTAATTTCTCCAGCGTACTCGTCGTTCTATAAACAGGTTGATTTGGAGGCGCACCACTTCTCTGCTCCTGCAGATCCTGACGTTTGTCCTCGGAATTGGGTGCTGTAATATCAGAGTCTTTTTTCTCAGAAGCATCCCCATCTGAATTTCCAATGACGCCTAATAATTTAATCTGATACGAAAACCTGCTCGTACGGGTCTTTCCGCTCCGTATACGTAATTTGCACCCGGAGTTCTTGATTAATCCGCAGCGTGCTCAGACGGCTATGGATATTCCGTATAACGACTTCATTGTAACTGAATGCTTCATTTTTTTTGGGGTTCAAACGCCGGAGGTAGCGGTAGAGTTCCAAACCATCGCTGCTTTCCCGCTCTAGTCCGTCTACTGTCAAAACACCGACCACCTCCGGATTGTCAGGGTCAGTGGCTGTCTGCTCGTCAGGGACGACAACATCCAGCGGCACCTCTCCCTGAATCGCCTTCATCCCGATAGTCCAACTGGTTGCTGATGTCCTACTGCTGTATGCAATAAAATCGTAATGAATACCCATAATTTTCTCTTTATATAGTCATAATCTATAGGATATATAGATAAGAAAACAAATCGCCGCTACGCTATACCTTTAATCTTAACATAACCTGTGCGAGTCTGGGAATACAAGAGGTTCCAACCCCTTCCACAGCGAAGGAAGCTACACAATGCGCGAAGTTCAGCGCCTTCTCTACTGAACGATTTTGATAATAGTCGATTAAAAAGGAGGTAGCGAAAACATCACCTGCGCCTGTAGGATCCGTCTCCGTCACGGGATACGCTGTGGATTTCAACCGTGTGCCGCTTTGAAAAAGGGTCGCGCCCCCTCGCTCCTTGCGTCAGTACAACGATCGGTGCCAATCGGATATACTTTTCTAATTCATCTGGATAGGCGCGGACATCCTCATCACTGAGGATTAATACATCAATGTGGGGCAAGATTTTTTCGGCTGTAGCCCAACGTTTTGTCTCAACCCTTCCACTGGCATCCCACTCGCGGAGCCACCCCTGCGGGGTAGCACCTATTAACGTGTCCTTGCTGAAACAGTGAACGAGCTCGGCGGAAACCTCATCTGCAATCGGACACAAGTAAACTATATTACTCGTACACCACTCAGCGGGCACATCGGTTCCTTTTAGTTCCTTTGCTGCCCCCAAAATAAACTGCTGCCTATGCCCTTTTTCATCGTATTGGTTATCAAAAATCGTCGTTTTAGGCGACTCACGATAAATAGTCTTTATGCCATCCAACAGCGGGTTCTGTCGATCAAAATTGTCACCTACAGCTGTGACAGCACGGGCGTGATGCCCCAGATTTCGGGCAGTTAGTGTCGAATAAGAGGCGGATCCACCAAGAATATAACCGTTTGGCGAAACATCATAACAAAAATGGCCAATTGATAAAAATGTTACGGGCATCGAAGAAGTATGTCCTTTTCGCATTACAATTCAAAGACAGGCTCCATACGTGCCCACCATTCGTCTGGTTGTGCTTCCGTCACCGGTTCCTGGAAAGTTCGCATCAACTCATCCCAGGCTTTGCATCTCGGATTTTCTTCAAGATAGCGCGGAAAATCATGTTCTATATCAAAATTATCAACAGTTTCCATCGCCATAAACAGACGACATCCTAAGAGGTAGATATTCATTTTCGTTATACCCACCGCTTTCAGTCCATCGACTACCTCTGGCCAGGCATTCTGGTGATATGCTTTATATGTCTCAATCAGGGCTGGGTCGTTTTTTAGGTTCAATGTTAAACCATAATGCTTCATTTCAGTTTTTTCAATGCCTTTCGGATTATCTTTTCGTGATCAAACGCGAGCGTCGGTAATTTAAAGGGTACGCTAAATGTTTCTACACTTCGACACCGCGTAGACTTTAGTTTATAGAATACCAAATTTTGACATTTTCGTCAACTATTTTCTAAATAATTCGTTCTCTGCTTGTAATAACCACATAGATAATGCTATAATAATCTTCATTACCATGGGCTTTGCAAAAAACTCAAGCATTATTGCGATGAACGCAGAGAACCAAAATGAAAGTTCTCATGAGGAAAAACATCCCCAGTGCCCTTATCATTTCTATCGGGCTTCATATCCTGCTGTTTCTGGTGCTTGGAACCTTGTACCGACAACAACCGGACCGGTACATTGAAACAGGCACAGCATTCGACATCGCCAAAATCCACTTGAGAACCCCGCGCCTCCCCGTGAAAAGAGTGCCCCAGATACCACCAAAACCGATGATGGTTCCTGAGAATATGCAACAGACACAGGCTTTTGAAGTCAAGCCCCCGTCGCTCCAACCGCCGGTAACACCCGTATCGCATCAAGATGTCCCTCTCGAATTGCAAACACCAGATCTCTCTTCAACAACGCCCTCAGAGGAACACACCCACGGTGAAGGTCTGCAAGCCAAGCCCGTATCTGGCAGTGGCAGCGGAATAGGTATTGGATTAGGTTCAGGTATCTCTGGTAGCGGCAGCAAGCCCGGCAGACGGACTGGCGGACTTATGGCAGGAACAAACGCACAACCGTTCTCGGACCTTGGAGGCTTAACGCTCCCCGACCTTGCGTTAAACAGGATCGCCAAACATATTATCGCAAACAAGCGTACGAACCTCGTCGATATCGTCTTTATTATTGACGGCAGTGGGAGTATGAAAAACGACGTTGACGCGGTGCGTGAGCATCTCAATAGCATGACCGATCGGTTTGACAGGGCAGGTATTGACTTCACCATCGGCATCGTTGCCTTTCGAGCAGGGACCGGATATAGCCTTCTCGGATTGGATTTTGAAGTGATCCCGCAAACTCGCTCAACCGATCAGGTGAAAAAAGTACTCGGACAACTCAAATTCCGAGGAGATGAGAACGGGTTGGACGCGCTCATCCGCGCCGCTGACGAGGTGACATTTCGAAGGGATGCTGAGGTGCATTTCATTTTTGTCACGGACGAGTACGTGAGCGGTGCCTATTCCTCAATAGATGTAATGGTGAAAATGAAAACTGCCAGAATCAAGGTAGATGTTATCGGGCGGGACGAACCTTTTCAGAAATTTATTGCCAAAACCACGGGCGGCTTATGGATGCCTATCTCGAGCCTCGCAATTCAATAAAGTGGAGAGCCTCGGTTCACAGATCGGGGCACCATAACAATGGGCAAAAAGGATACACACTACGCACTCGGTTTAGCGTTCCTTTTCGTTGCAGTAGGTGCCTATACTGTCAGCCATCATGAGATGTGGCGCGACGAGATTCAGGCGTGGCTCCTCGTACGCGATAGTGCCTCGGTCTCTGAACTCTTTGCGAACCTCAAGTATGAAGGACATCCGGGTTTGTGGCACCTCTGCCTTATACCGCTCAGTCGTATCACACACTCTCCTGTCATCATGCAGGTGTTCCATCTCCTGATTACGTGTGTTACCGTCTATCTTTCTGTTCGCTACGCGCCTTTCAATCGCGTCCAAAAATTTCTTTTCTGTTTCGGCTACTTCGTCCTCTATGAATACGGTATTATCGCGCGAAACTATGCCCTTGGGTTGCTACTGATAACGATTTTCTGCCTGCTTTTAAGGGAGCGTTACAGACGCTTTATTTGGATCGGCTGTGTACTATTTCTGCTTGCACACACGAGTGTTCACGCGTTGATTCTCACTCTGGCGATGGGGTTCGCGCTTTGCTGTGAATACTTCTGTCGCAGTTGGGTCTCTAAGCCCCTCGCTCAGGAGATCGAGGCTATAGGAGATAAAAAACCCATCT